GAGAGAGAGAGTGCGTGCTTGGTGGGGTAAAGAAAGCATACACAGCACTTTGGAATGACAGGAAAATAAAATCTTTTGACACCTACTTAATTACAGTGCACACACTACACTGATACACTTTTTTCACATCAGTACCTAAACATTGACCTGCCCCAACCCTCCTATCCCCCACAGAGACAGGCAGACACTTACCATATGCAGACACAATCGCATGGAGCATATGCACATGAAACGTGCTCACACACTAAAATATTCAGCAAACCCATCTCCACATGCCGATTACTGTGGCATTTGCTTACTGCAGTATTCTTTTGCCCCATGGTAGTAAAAACTCATAAAGGCAATTGTTTCCTCACTTCACAAATATGAGCTGAAATGAACACTTACCTTAAATGATCTTAAATGTAGTGTTCAAAAACTGTGTGAAACTGTGAAGGGAGTGGAACCAAGTAACTGCAGAAATTATAAAACTTATTATAGTGGCATATTATGGTGAAATTTATAAATAATTTCAAGTGCATTAAGACAATACACATATTGATGAATGATGATATTTTGTACATATTGCAAAAACAAAATGGACTTTTTACTTTTTACTTAAGCTTAATCATAACTTAATTAAAAACTAAACGGCAGCTTTATAGCAGTGACTCTGTGACACTGATGTTATTGCATATGACATTTGAAGGAGGTTACAGCTTCTCTATCTCTCCCCTGAGATATTTTGTATAGCATGCAGCTATTTTTCAACTCTTCAGTAAAATCATGAGTGACAAATGAGCCACTTGATTATGGTACTTCAACATTTCTTTTGTAAATCTGTTTCCATTTCACTGTGTCACACAGCCAAGAAGTTGAAAACCATACAGCTTTTTAAAATTTAAATTCCTACTTGTATTATTCTTGTATTATTCTCTAACAACGAGAAACAACACCGAGAAGTATCTTTGTGCAAGGTGGATAATGTTGAGCACTGCAAGAGCTACAAAGTGACCTCCAGCATGCCACTGGTGTGAATGCCTCTGACCAAACAGTCAGAAACACACTTCATGAGGGTGGTCTAAGGATCCAACATCCTTTAGTGAGTCCTGTGCTCACTGCCTGGCACCTTGGAGCCCGTGTGAAAGTGAGGAGGAGCCGGGAAAACGTTATGCCAGTAATGACATCATTCAGCATGACCAATATGGTAGTGGGTCAGTGACAGCCTGTAGAGGCATATCCACAGAGGGATGCACAGATCTCTGCAGGCAACAGCACCAACTGCTATTAGGTATCAGATCATACCTAATGGCAGGTAGGACCCATTGTCAGACCCTGCTGTAGTACAGTGGGTCCTGGGTTCCTCCTGGTACGTGACTGCCCGGCCTCATGTGGCAATAGTATGCAAGCAATTTCTGGAGGATGAAGGAATTAATTCCACTGACCCCCATGCTCACCTGATATAAATCCAACAGAACACCTATGGAACATTTTGTTTCTGTCCATCCGATGCTGCCAGGTTGCACTTTAGATTGTCGATGAGCTCAGTGATGCTCTTGTCCACATCTGGATGGAGATCCCTCAGGACACAAAATGCGGGTCCTACAAACTACCATTTTGAGTTGCTGCAGTGAAATGTAAGCAATTTCTCACTTTGATTTTTGGGGCGTCTTTGAGTTCAGCTCTCTGTAGGTTGACCATTTTATTTTCTATCGAGCGATGTGGCATCCTTTCAACCCATTTAACACATTTCCCAGTCCATATCGGTGTTTCTATCCAGCATGATGTTTTCCCCTTTGAGATCTGATGTGTTTTCTAAGTTTCAACAGTGTCGACATTTTGAGCCTCAGAGTCTTGAATCATAAAGTGAAACCATCGTGAGTGGAGTTCTGTGAGCCTGCGAGCCATTAATCTCCATCCACTCTTGATTTATTTTATGGAAATCACAACAACATGTTAGCGCTAATTGGAAAGTAATGCATAATGCTTCAAAATGCAGCTTCTGACATATTTATTGGAATCATTGTTTAATTGTGTGTTGGATGTGTACCTTCTAGAACACCCAGCAGCGTACTATAACACTCCCTCTGACATTTGGCTTCTCATTCACGGTGATTCAGTTCAAAGACAAAGAGGGTGGGCTTGGCGTGCGGTGGCAAGGAAGGGCTTATTCGCTGCATTTAACAATTTTCCCCCTGCTGCTGCCTGTGTGTGCTCCTACAGGCTCAGCTGGAGAGCCACTATTAATAGACTGACTGACGGAGCTGAGCTGAGAAGATGCTCCACCCCACTCATCAGTCCTTATAGCTCTACTATTCTGTTATCAGCCATCTTATTTAAGGGTTTCCAAAGCCAATCCGTAGAGATCGTATTAATTCTCCTCCTTTAGGAAGATTTTAAAGAGTTAGATTTTACCTGAAATTCTGTTTTCATGTTACTTAACAGCTTACAAACCATACACAATGTCAGACAAATTATGTCATCACTTTACAACACCATACTTTAACTTAGAATTATAGAAAGAAAGCCAATCAGCTATGGCGAGTACATACATTGCAAGTGATAGGACAGCAAACAATAGTGTGCTATAGAAGACATTATTTTTACTAATGGGCGATCACAGTATGGATCGATCTGCATGTTTGACAGAGTTTGGCCTCCATGACACAATTATCCCATTAATCCAGGCCTGGGAGTAGTACTAAGTATATAGGATAGGTTTAGTTAACCACTAAACCAGGGTGCCACTACATAAGCAATAGTACATGAAATTGCTTTTTTTCACAACATAAGCCTGACCCACATAGTATTAAAGGGATTTTTTTTTCAGTTCAAACTGACCTTACCAAGCATCAATATGAAATGGGTTTATGGTGATGACTGGTTGCCAAAACAAGCCTGACCCAGTGAGGTATAGACTCAACTGAAACACAACAAACATTAACTACATTTAAAAAAAAATAAAAAAGAAGCCTGTTTTATATGTTTTCCAAAATAGGGTTAGAGTTAGGATTAATCCAACTCAATAAAAACAGGAGTTTTAGAACCATGAAATACTACGTAACTGCTGTTTTGTCACAAACCGTATGTTTTTAAAATTTTTAATTTGTCCAACTATGTTAAACAAACAAAAAAACACATATTTACATGTGGTAGACTGGTTCTTACATAACAAATTTCTTCAACATTCAACATACAGACTGAAGTAGCCAGGGCTCGACCCACCAGCCTTCCCATTAGTAGATGACCTGCTCTTTCTCCTGATCTACAGCTCCACCAATGAGAAAATATCAAGCTCTGGATTTTGAAGAAGTGTCAGATTTTGCTAAAATTTATTTTTATAACGAAACATTATTTTGTAGAAGCATGCTAGGTTGACATATTAAGATATAATTTAGTGTTAAGTCCTACCTTGATTGTGTTTTTATTACCATCTGATGTTCTGAAACCATATGGTGTTTCTACATTTAAAATTTAGCTCTGGAGCTGATGTGCTCCATATAACTCATGGGCTCACTAAGAACACATCTATATATATTTTACAATTTCGATTTCCCTTCATGTCAACTAATTTATACATGATATTCATACAGTTTTTGTTTTGCGTGATCAGTATCTAATTTTCATTATGTTCATTAAAGATATCTTGTGTCACTGTCTTTTGTAGCAAATGGAACAATAATCCTGACATGACTTAATATGGACAATCTTTCAGCTACACCCATTTTAATTTGGTTATCCACTCTTTACGTGTGGAGTAAGGCAGCGGTCCCCAACCCCCGGGCCTCGGACCGGTACCGGTCCGTGAGTCCTTTGGTACCGGGCCGCGAAAGTTGAGGCTCAGGTGTGAAATGTATGGTTTTCAGGGTTTTTATTGGTTTTCAGCGTTATTTTGTCATCGTTTTTATCGTTAACTCAGTTCTCCTGGGTCTTTTCATGTGTGTTATGAATAAATCTTTTTTTTTCCGGTACCGGTACTAGTTTTATTTTGTTGTATTTATCCGCGACACCTTAAAGGCCGGTCCGTGAAAATATTGTCGGGCATAAACCGGTCTGTGGCGCAAAAAAGGTTGGAGTAAGGTATGGAAGAGAAGAGGCTGTGTTTTAATTGATCGATGGTGTAATTCTGGGTGCTTAACTGTAAAAGGGAAGCAGGTAGGAAGTAAGTCCTCTGAAGTAAGGACAATGAGCTTCTAGCTGTTAGCATGAGGGCATATTATCTACCGTGGGAGTTTACACATGTTACCGTTATAACGGTGTGTGTCCTCTCCTGTTATCCAAATTGTTACCAGCGGATTTCAAACACAGTATCTCCAGGCCCTTTTTCTGATCTCTGGGGATTTTAATCATCTCTCCCTGTCCTCCACTCTGCACACCTTCACCCAATATGTAACCTGCCAAACCAGAGACAATAAAACACTAGACTTATTGTATGCCAACATCAGCTCATCACCTCTCCCTCCTCTGGGGCAATCACAACCTGATTCATCTCCAGCCTGTGTATAAATGCCTTGTACACAGAGAATCAGCTGTGTTGCGCACAGTGAAGAGTCTGAGGAGACTGAAGCTCTGAGGTACTGCTTCAGTTCTACTGTGTGGGAAGAGCTCTGTGCTCATCACAG